CCCTCGTGTAGCTTTGCGCGAAATTCAAAAACAAAAACAAACACAGACACACAGAATATCTTGGTAAATATATATATTTATCAGCAATAAACGTGAATAAAAACCATCTGAACTCATTATAACAAGGTGATTAAATTGGGCACTTAATAAATTTATTACTTTGATCAGTGGCGTAACTAGGTGTTCTTTGCGACCGAGGCAAGTTTCATGAACTGCCCCCTCTCCCCACATTTTATATAATCATAAAGCAAAAACAATCCTATTTATAATAATATTTAATAATAAAAATATATGGAACATGTTTAGCAAATCATATCATCAGCTATAGTTCTTATCTTAAAATAATTGGAGCCCTGCGTTTTATTCCAGCCTGCCCTTAGTTACGCTACTGACTTCGATTAATCCTGAGTCAAAAGGCAATCAGAAGATTTATTAATTTAAATTCAGGTGATTGGAAGTTGTCTTCGTCACAGTTTGAGTTGTTGTCATTGTTAAATATATGTTGACTTTGGTATGAATTTGAATGAAACTCACTAAACAACAATTGGCTCGGACAGATTAGGCGTGTCAACTGTAACATGGTGAAACCTTCACTAAACAACAACTGGCTCGGACAGATTACGGGCGTCGATTGTAACATGGTGAAACCTTTACTAAACAACAACTGGCTCGGGCAGATTACGGGCGTCGACTGTAACATGGTGAAACCTTCACTAAACAACAACTGGCTCGGACAGATTACGGGCGTCGATTGTAACATGGTGAAACCTTTACTAAACAACAACTGGCTCGGACAGATTACGGGCGTCGAATGTAACATGGTGAAACCTTCACTAATCAACAACTGGCTCGGACAGATTACGGGCGTCAACTGTAACATGGTGAAACCTCTTTCAACGGGAAGCAATTATAAATCATCATTTACGAAGAATTAAGGAGAACCAGTAGTAAATATGGGCGTACTCGAGTTGACAGACACCCAATTGTTTGCCACACCCCAAAATTGATGTTAAACGAAACAAATAGCTCATTATATTGAATTTTAAATTTAACTTTCACAATTATTACCGTATTGGTGTCCTAATATGGGCTCTCAAACAGTACCCCCCCCCCCGTCCTCCTCTGTGAACATTCTCACGTTCAGTTATTATTACAGAGCTGCCGAGTATTTTTGTTTTCTTTTTTTCTTCTTTTTCCATTAACGACAGTATATATATATATATTTATATATAAGACCTAAAAGAAACGATTAGGAAAACAAACATAAAATTCCATATTTTCTGCGGGTAGAATATTTTCCAGTGACGTTTTTTGTTTGTTTTTTATCTAGCGATTGATTGAATTGAACTGAACTGATTGAAGCTCTGTTGTATGCTTTGCTCTAAGCTTATCAATCGAATGCACCCCTAGGTCAAGAGAACACCATTCACATACGAAATTCCGACTGTCTGGTCTTCTTATTGCGCGTGCTACGTGCGAGGCCAATACTTACAAGTAATTTTCTTTCCTGGTAGACACATTTGGCTTTTGATTTTCTTTATCGTCCAGCAATTCTAAGAACGTAATCCAGTACTTGTGTTTGGTAATTCCAACATTTCAAGATTTATTCCATAATGCTTAGATCCGTAAATCATAAGATTACTATGACAAATAAACAAAT